TGATGGGACAAATGACTCGCAAATCTATCGACAGTATGGGGGGCTCCACTTCTTATCAAAATAAACAAATAATACGGCCGAAATAGCCCAGTCACCCATGTCTAGAATCCGTGAGAGATAGTCAGCCATGGTATTTTCACCCCGGGGGATCCACTGTGCAAACATTTCTATGTGTTCGCGTTGACAGAAACGGAAAATGTCAACAGCTTCTTGGTGCAGCGTTGGGTTACGGCTACCGTTGCACAAAATGGACACCACGTTCTGGTTGTCGGTATTAAGACAAATTGCATGGCCAGACAATCGAGACACTAAAGAGATTAGGGCAAAGCGGACAGCAAGCAGTTTCCTCAATGTGGAGCTGGTGTGTGCGGCTGACATGGTCTAGGGCCACTCGCCCCATGCAATTTCAACCCCGTTAATCAGGCTGAAACCACCCCACCCGGAGTCACTAGCATCCGTGAATACCAATTGCAGCGTGCGGGGCCCGGCAGGCCAGATGGGCCTCCCGTGAAAATGATCACATTCAGATTGCCATTAATTCAGCCTTAGCGGCATGCTCAAGTGGGATAGCTATCTCCCAGCCTTCTTCTAGGGTTGGGCCCAGACATGCGTGCAAGCTTCTTGTCTGTAAGCGCACCACGCAGCCCAGAGCAAGCCGCATAGAGCTGAGCGACCCCGTTAGTTTGGCAAGCAAGCGCGCAGGGACCACAGTGGGGTAAGACATAATCTCAGCTAGCAGCAGTTTAAACTTGGATACGCGGTTTGGGGTGACATGAATGCTATTGTTGGCCGTGTCCAGGACATGACCCAAGACCGAGGCCACCTGCCGGGGTTGAAAATTACTCTTTTGCTTGTTGATGACAAGACCGCATTTTTCCAAATCTGACTTCACAAGTTGGGCGACCCGCTGCGTCCCCTCTGCGGTGTTTGCGGCTCCAGTTCCGTCATCCAGATACAGGAAAATAGGTATGCCTTGGTTACGCCAATGGGTGACCAAAGGCCGCAGCACTTTTGTAAACACAAATGGGGAGGGCTTAAGGCCAAACGGAATTGCGGCAAACACAAAAAAACGGGCCTGACCCCGGAACTGCCATTGAAAACCTAGGAACTTCCTATGTTCTGGGGCAATCGAGATGTGATGGTAGCCATCCTTCAGATCAAAAGTTGTTGTTGTTGTTGTTGTTGTTTCTTTATTTTACTTCACCATATGAACAGGCAAGACTGCCTTCTCACCGGGGCTATTGGCCCACGGCTCTCACAATATGATGAAAATGTTTAAAATTTGTATGAAGAAGAAAGGAACGGAAAAGAAGATGAAATGAAAGGAAAGAAAACAGTAGGTATTAATTAAATGAAGGGGGAGGGGTATGAAATGGGTATTATCATAGTTGATGAGAGAAGTATGATATCCAATATTATTGTTCTATAGACTATTTAGTACGGGCATTTCATGAGAGTCATGCATGGGCAAGGCAGAATTTGGACTAGGATAGAGGACAAGAACATAATTGATGAGCATTTGTTCAGGCAGAGTCTGTGAAGAAGACATAGTAGGCACAACATCGGAGAGCTAGTTGAGGAGGGAGATAAGATCATGGCCAGACAGCAATGCTTGAAACGTGTGGCGTACGTCGCAAGCGCGAGTATCAGCAGGGAGAGAGTTCCATGTGGTACTGCCAACGAAGGCGATTGAGCTACGGCTTGAGGGACCAGGTAGGAACGGCACTCTGAGCAGCTGGCTGACCTGACCACGCGTGACACAACTTCTGTCCACATCCGTGGCAATGAGGGAGTAGTAGGATTGGAACAGTGAGCTGGCTCTGCCATGAAGGCAGCGGAAGACGAAGAGAAGCAGACGTTGCACGTACAGCTGGTGGAGCTGAGGCATTGATAGTCTGGCAAATAGGGGAGCAGTGGGGGTCCTTCTGGGGAGTTGGAAGATGGCTCGTATGCCAGACTTAGCAATGCGTAGCAGTCGATGCAGCAGCAGAAGTGAACAGGAAACAACCCGGTTCGAAAAGGTCCGGGATGAGTTTCAGGTCCTCAACACTAAAATGGGGGTCTGCCAAATGCTTATTGAGGAACCGGAGGTCTATAATCAGCCACAACTTTCCGTTGCCCTTGGGAACCACACCCAACGGGCTAATTATATGGATAGCGTTTTCCTCCACCATCTCGACTGCCCCCGAACGTAACAGCATACGGATTTGGTCAGACATAAAACTGGAATGATCATTTAGAAGATTTTAGGTTTCATGCCCGGAACTGGGGTGGGGGGAGACTAAACACAAAAAATAACCATAACGAATAATACGTAAAACAAAATCTGAGGCAGCAATATTTTCCCTAAATGCAATGCAGTGTAATAACCGCCCATGAACGTTATTGTCACAAGCACTTATCTCGTCAGACTCCAGCGGGTCCGGGCACTCATGCTCCGTCCATTCGTGGACGAGCTCCGGCAGTGGGTTGTGGTTGCTGAGTCTAGTGTGGTTGGCGACTACTGCCTCGGCCGAACTGGGGGCAATGCCTGCTGACGTGACCCAACTGTTGGCAGTTCCAGCAACGCGGGCCGCTTCCAGGGGTTCGGCCACCGTTGGCAGGTAGACTCTACTACCCAGCTAGCAGTTATCCTAACAACAGACAGCAGCAGTCAGTATGCAATCATGCACAAAACACGGACACAGAAAATGTTCGGAAAAAATGTTTGGCCAGACAGGTTGGCGCCAATGCGTGACCTATGGACTGTAAACAATGCGTGCAACAAGAAAACGACGAGCAGAAAGAAACACAATGCAGAAAGGAAAATATCGACGAAGAGAGTGGATGAGGATAATGGTAGTTCACTTGCGTGGGCCTTCGTGGTTCTTCATAGTAGGTGATCTCCGAAGGCGCACACACTCCGCCAGCGATGTAGTGGTGGACGTTTTCCGCTGCCACCAGTGTTAGCTGCTCCCCGAAGTCCCCTCACATCGGAACACAGGGGTTTTATATGATTGGATTATAGAAGTATTCGACAAGAGTGTAGACAGAAGGAGAACAGGACAACGACCACTCAAGACTAGACTAGAACAGAACAGAACTGGAGACCCACTGGAGCATGCGCTCTTCTATATGTGAGTCTCATTGCCAAGGGGAACGAGCGGGAAATACGAATAGTGAGTATGTACAGGTCGTAGCATTAATACACCTATTACAAACGGTCCGTGGCCCGATGGCCTCCGCTCAAATTGAGAGTTGTCGCCCAAACTGGGGCACGAAAATTTCTGCTTGGGTATGGCCTCTCAGTCTCAGGTTGGAAATGCTCCCTGGGCTGCAGTTGCCTGAGTCGACGAGCAGTGGAGGCTGCCTCCGCGATCCTCTTGTCGTCAGCGAGGCTGTCACCCACGCTGCCCTCCTCATAGGCTCTCACAGTCTCTAAGTCAAACAAATCGGCTATTTTCAGTTCTTTCTGCCTTTTTGCAGATCTCGTGCTTACCCTGCGTCAGGAGCTCCTTGGCCTCGGGTGCTGAGTCCGGGAGCACTATGGCGGGATCCACCTTTTGTAACACGGTTTCGTTGGTGGCGAACTGGGCCTGCAGCCCTGGTAATTTGAATTTCGGCTTTGGGGCCTGGTTTAGCCGGCTTGTTAGAGACTGCGCTGCTTTGAGTTTGGCTACCTCAGCGCGAGCCGCCGTGGCCTCCTCCTGCGCTCCCTTGATTTGTGACGAAAGGTTGGTAAATGCGGAGGCAAACCACGACGGCATCTCCTCACCTGCCGAGTTTGGTGTTGGTGGGGCAGGCGAGGTGGTGGAGGTGGCAGCTGGGCGTCGTCTGGCGGTCCTGGCAGGCTCAGGATGAGCTACAGGAGCCACGGTTCCTTGGCTGCGAGTAGATATTGGCATAATTAGATATCGAAAACTCTGGACGTCAAAAAACTCCACGCTACATGAGGAATACAAGACCACGATGGCAGGTGGGAGAGAGTTGCGCAGTGGAAGAGCAGCAGTGCACGACAGAAAAATGCTGAGTGAAAAATACGTTTTTTACACTCTTTCCCTACGCTCAGCCATGAAAAAACAACACTTTTCTAAGTCCGCCCAGAGTTTGTGTGTGCGTGTGGGGGGGGGGGGGGGGCAGGGGTGTCGGTTATTGACATTGGGCAGCTCAATGACCAATGACACGTCATCCAATGACACGTCATCTTTCCAAGATTCCTGTTGAGTCTCTCTTCCTCTCACGCTGAGAATCACATGACTGGTTTCTTCTTCTTGCAGTTTACAAGAATAAGTTCAAGTACAAGTGTATGTGTATGTGTGTTGGTGTGTGTGTGTGTGTTGTGTGTGTGTCTGCGTCTGTGTCTGTGCGTATGTGCACACACAAGTGTATACGTGTGTGTGTCTGCTTGTCTGTTTGTCTTTCTGTCTGTCTCCATGTTTGCGTGTTTGTGTTTCCGGTCGTATTTCTTGTCCTTTGGCACTTCGACACGTCCAGGCTGATTATCTCATTCCTCTGATTGGATACTCCAAGGACATTGTCAACAACACTTGGCTGGACATGACATACCAAGACTACAACATCACCGACTGCTTCCTTTGCAAGTAAGGTGGAGAAAAATTTAAGTTTTGAAGACACTAGCAATTTCACCAGACTCAGCAGTAAAGAACTCCCTTGTCTTTTGAAGCACGCACACAGAACACACACAGTTGAGTTTTAGTGATAGAGTTCCTGTAGATGGTCTGGTGGTGCGGACGATCTCTTGGGCGGCATCTGTAACGATCGGGCCAGGCAGAGAACAAAGAAGTTGGGACCCATCGGCGTTGGTACGGAGTGCGGACGTTCCGTTACCGATGCCGTTGCCAACGATGAAAACTCCGTCCTGGGAACCCTCTCTTCAGCCCGGCAAGGCCATTTTCGAGATGGCCCCAGGGTCTCAGTAGTACTCCTCCTTTCGGCACCAGGGGACGCCCTGGCTGGTTTGACAGCAGCGTTTAGCCCTTTACCGGTCTACCATAAGCGTACCGATACTATAGTATCGGTACGTTCGCGGGCTGATTTTGAATGGGATTGTTGCTAGGGGAGATCTAAAATGGTGTCCTCCGCATAGCTGGCACTCCCGGCTTTCCATCGATGTACTGGAAGCCTATGGTTCACATACAAAAAAATTTGGAACGAGCGCCTAGAAGTTTGAGAAGTTTGAGAAGAACGTCCTCCGCCATGGCTCGCAGGTTCAGTGCAAGTGAGGCGCTTGATGCTGTTTTCAGGACCGATTCTGATGAGAGCGGAGGTACCAGCAGTGACCCTGACTCTCCTGGCGATCTAGGCATGTCTTTTGACGAGGAGAGTGACCTAGATCGGGCCCTGCGTGGCGAGACGGATGCGGAAGAAGAAGAAGTCGGCAAAGAAGTCGAAAGCGAGCAGAGCTCCGACGGCAACTCAAGTGCTGCCTCGCACGCGCAATCAGCTGATTCACCACCTGATCATGTGAAGCGTCCCAAGTCCGTCGGAGATTATAACGATTACATGGGTGGAGTAGATGTGTTTGACCAATATGCATCATCGTATCGAGTATTGCGAAAAACAAAGAGATACTGAAAAACATGATTCCTAGATTTTATAGATGTAGCCACTATCAATGCATTCCTCCTGTTCCAAGAGTACCGGAAGCAGAACCCAGACAAGGAGGAGTTCAAGCGATCAGCTGGGTACTCCCATTGCAGTGCTGCCAAACCGTCCGATTTTTCGGACAGTGTCCGATTTTTGAAGGCTCTTCCGAAAACTGGTCCGAAAAGGGAAACGTCCGAAAAGCAGCCAAAATGTCGGAGATCATTACTTTCCTATGCAGAAGTTCTGTACTTTCACTTTTCAGCGCAACTGAAGGCACAAATCACTGTACATTTGCTTCTAAAAAGGGTAGCGCTTGGCTGTGGAAGTGCAAAGTAACATGCCTGGATCAGGCTGGATGGCATGTACACTGACAGTCTGTACAGAGTCAGTGTGCGACCACACTCATCATTACAAAATTCATGACAACTCTGGGGTTACCATGGCAACGAAGCGAATTTTCATGGTGTTTTCGGCGATATTTTGAATTCTCTGTAAAAAATTGCCGAGGAGAAAAATTCGCACCATGTGGCGGTGAAGGGTGTCCGATTTTGGGCGAAAATTATTTGGCAGCACTGCCATTGTGACTTTCGGCTCAACCTGCATCGTCAGCTGGGTGAAATTGAGGAGGGTGATCCTGTGCCTGTGGCACGCCGCAGTGGCCCAGCTCCACAGGCAAAGGCACAGTAACGTCAGCATCTACCTGTGCGATTAGACAAGAAGCATAACTGCCAAGTGTGCTATTACCAACGACATGACAAGGAGCAGAAGACAGACGTGCACTGCGATACCTGCACAAACAGACTTGGCAGCCCTCTGCCTCTCTATTTTACAACAGAGAGGAACTGCTTTGTACCTGCACAAACAGACTTGCCAGCCCTCTGCCTCTCTGTTTTACAACAGAGAGGAACTGCTTTGGAGAGCATCATGCCGTCCCACAGTAAACTCTATACCGTTTTGCTATGTGGCAAGTGTACATTCCCACTTTTGCGTATATTTCAATGATCTACTCTGATTTGTATTTGCTATTGCCAGCTCATGTGTGGGCTTATCAGAAGCGTATGTCCTTGTAGTTGTGACTGGTTGTGTGGCTGTCTATACGTTTTATTATGTGACAATTGCGCATTCACACTTTTCACATATTTCAGTGATCAATCCTGCTTTCTACTTTGCTATGACAAGCTCATGTGTGGGCTTATTTGAAGCGTATGTCCTTGTAGTTTCCAAAAATATATGGTTTACCCATACCTATCTCCTATAATTTTCGAGTTTTGACTGGTCGTGTCGGTGCATATTTACCGGATCACCCCTTACATACATTGAGTTATACCGGCAAAGGGTTAACTAAAGACCACCGTCACTAGCAACCAGCCTGGTACTACAGTAAAGCTGTAACTAAAGACCACCGTGACTAGCAACCAGCCTGGTACTACAATAAAACCTGTAACTAAAGACCACCGTGACTAGCGACCAGCCTGGTACTACAGTAAAACCTGTAACTAAAGACCACCGTGACTAGCAACCAGCCTGGTACTACAGTAAAACCTGTAACTAAAGACCACCGTGACTAGCGACCAGCCTGGTACTACAGTAAAACCTGTAACTAAAGACCACCGTGACTAGCAACCAGCCTGGTACTACAGTAAAACCTGTAACTAAAGACCACCGTGACTAGCAACCAGCCTGGTACTACAGTAAAACCTGTAACTAAAGACCACCGTGACTAGCGACCAGCCTGGTACTACAGTAAAACCTGTAACTAAAGACCACTGTGACTAGCAACCAGCCTGGTACATGTACTACAGACCATGTCGCCAGGCACGGACGGTCTCACATTCACATAATTATGGTTGTGCACTGCAAACCTCCAACTAAGGACCACCTGCCACTAAAGACCGCTTTTACCGGCCCCAAGAGGTGGTCGTTAGTTGCAGGTTGTACTGTACATGTGATCTGGATGGTAGAGAATGGAACCGAGCGCTTTGGTTCCTGGATCCACCCCTGGATCCACCCTCCCCCGGTCCACCCCTGGATCCACCCCCCTCCGGTCCACCCCTGGATCCATCCCGGGTCCACCCCTGGATCCACCCCGGGTCCAACCCCCGGGTCCACCCCTGGATCCACCCCGGGTTCACCCCTGGATCCACGGCTGGACTTCTTGTGTTAGGTTTCACCTGGATTTGTTTCATCAGTGTTTGAAGCCTGTTTTTTAATTCTCAATTTTGCCCCTGCCCAATAAGAAAGAACACGTGTGTATGTTTGTTTGTCTGCTTGCTATGTGCTTGCCCGCTTTTGCCAGCTACCTGTCGATCGGCGCAAATCAGCGCACACTAGTCATGGATCGGCTCCACAAGCCAGTCAGGAGAGACACTTGGTTCCTGTCAACGGACACGGCCAACGCAGCCTATTTGCCAGCACTGAATATCATGCAGGTACCTGCAGGTATTCTGCAGTCGCCAGTCTACCTGAAAGATTCGCCACTGGTAGGTCATTCATTGTTCATAAGTTGAGGAACTGAAATGGGAAAAGTCTGAACAAACAATCGACCGACAGCACCAGGGATCCTCGCTACCGTAAAATTCCGTAAATATTAAAGCCCACCCTAAATAACGCCCATGTCAGATAAGAAGCCCAGTTTTAGGCTGTGTACACTTCAAGTCTGTTTTAGCGCCCATGCCCGAAATAAGCCCATGGCGTAAAGTGGACTCAAAATGACCAGCGCGCGAGCGTGCGTTTGCGTACAAACTGTAGCCATGCCGGTGCCTGTTGAGTGTTGTGCCTTGTACTTACCATAGCAAGTGGTTTACCTATCAAATCTGTAATTTATCGCTACATTCGTGTTTACGACCAAATTTCCAGCTGTGGTTTGATGTACCTGTACCGCGCTCAGTGTGAATGGTGGTTCACTGAAACTAGTGGGTTGCTGATAGATTGATCTTCTGCAGATTGCATCCGAAATAACACCCATGCCCTAAAATAAGCCCATGCCCAAATATACGCCCAGTTTTTGACGCTCTGCAAAGTATACGCCCGGAGCTTATTAACGGAATTTTACGGTACAGGTCGTCCCCCGTTAATACGAGTCCGGTTAATACATAAACCCCGTTAGTACATAAGAAATCTCAAGTCCCGGACGAAACGTGGTCACTTCCATACAAATTTTGTCGGTTAGTACATAATCCGTTAGTACATAAACCCCGTTAGTACATAACAATTCCTCTGTTCCCGCATGCCACATACCTCGATAGTACATAATTTTTTGGTCTGCTGGCCTCTCAGAGGAGGCACATCATGTTCCAGTTTCTTCTTGTGGACCCAAAAATCACAACGCACAGCACAAACCGACGAAGCTCTATTTTTTCTGGAGTGAATGCTCAGGCCTGCATGCAGGCGCGGCCGGGCGTACATGCATGGTGCATGCCTTGCGCGTGCGCACGCGCATGGCGTGCATGTAGACCAGCGAGTCCAAAAAGCCTGGTTTTAGTAGTCTACTCGTACATCTACTTCCTGTAGATAGGCTGATGAGTGGCGTCAACTGACGTGACTGTGCATGAGCACGTATGGGAGTCACTTGTTCTGACTCCGATCCAGGGAGTTGTAGACCAAAACGGGCTGGTGTGATCGTGAGTCGTCCCGATCCGGCCAGCTCTCTCGTACAGTCGTACAGTAGGCATGAATCAGGGAGTTGTGTTTTACGACTCCCTCCCTCCGGAGGTCCCTAGTTCCTGACATGAATCATGTTCATAATGAATGTCGATCATCACTGCACTGAGTAACCCACGCACTGTCCAGATCGGACGTCATGCTCACGCGATGGGTCGCTTTCGCTGGCCCGCTTCCAGTTTTGCACTTGAAAGTCGTGCAGTGCAGCTCTCCCTATGTACGACTATGTGCATCCGAAGACTCAACTGCAAACCGCTAAGCCCAAAGCGGCACCAAGGAGTACTAAGACGGCTGTTAGCACTCCCTGGTCGGCGCTGGCGGCGCAATGAAGCGAGCGTTTGCATGTCACATCAAGTGTTTTGGACATCCTGTGGTGACATCCACTTTCGTCTTTTGTTGGCAAGAATCGGAAAGCAAGACAAGTGTTTGTCAGGTTCAGCACAATCGAAGTTGCCTGTCGAGTCTCACCGGCGGAGTCACCGCTGATCACCATGTCATTGAAGGTCACCCGCAAACCGCTGTCGCTGGAGGAGAAGGTGAAGATCATCCAACAAGCGAAGAAAGGAGATAAGGTGTGTTTCTAGCGAGGCATTTTCCATTGTCTAGGGCACTAAGCCTTCAATTATTTTACAGGGCCACTTCCTTTTGATTTGTATTCTTTTTTCACCGCCCCTATTCTCATGGCCCCCTGTGTTGCTCTTTGCAATAATGATAATTTACCTGTGAACTGCGATGTCATTTCGCGTCGTCAAGGAATGTCGTCATGTTTCGTCGTTACTGGCGAGGGTCACCAGTTGTTGTTCTGTGTTGCGTCTTCATGTTAGGTCGTCATGTCAATTGGTCCGGGAAGAGTATTAAATGTTTTCCCTTTTGTTTGCTTCTTACAATTTTCACGTGCATGCACATGTAGGCCAGTGACATTGCAAGATCATGGTCGCGACCAGCGCAAACGATCTACGCAGTTTTGAAGAAGAAGAAGGAGTTGATGGAAGCATGGGAGAGTGGTGATCGGAGTAGCAAGACGAAGAGGATCAGAACGTCGAAATGGCCACAGCTTGATGAATTGCTGTATGACTGGCTGGTTTGAGCACGTGCTGCGAACATCACTGTAACGGATGAGATTCTGTCCATTGAAGCGAAGAAGCTGGCATCAGGGCTGGGGTTGTCAGATGACGATTTCAACGCTAGCCACGGTTTTATCAACAGGTTCAAGGTGCGCCATCAATGCACCACCAAGACTAAGGCAGGCGATGGAAAGGACGCTATGGAGGATGTCACCATTGATCAGTGGCAAAAGGACGTCCTACCAACCCTTGTGGAGGGATTCGAGCCCAAGAATGTGTTTAACATTGATGAAACCGCTTTGTTTTACCGGGTTCTTCCGCACAAGACGTTGACTCTGCGTGGAGAGCGCTGCCAAGGCGGAAAGAAGAAGAAGGACAGAGTTAGTGTCCTCCTTGGCTGCAACATGGATGGAAGTGAGAAGCTGCAGCCGTTGGTAATTGGCCATTACCGGAAACCCCGTTGTTTCCGCAATACGGAGTCGCTGCCAGTCACGTACAGGCATTCCAAGAACGCTTGGATGACGTCTGACATTATGTCAGAGTGGCTCATTTCATTCGACACCAAGATGGCAAATGAGAAGCGCAACGTCATCCTCTTCATGGACAACTGCTCTAGCCATGCTAAGGCAACCGCCAACGCGAACTTGAGTAATGTCCGGATTCAGTATCTGCCGCCAAACTCCACATCACGGACGCAGCCACTGGATCAGGGCATAATACGGTCTGTGAAGTGCATTTATCGCCGCAAGCTGCTTCACCAGATCGTTGCAGCATTTGATGCTGAACAAGATCTTGATGATCTACTCAAGATCAACATCAAGGAGGCCATCCTCTTATTCAGTGCAGCCTGGAATGCAGTCACCGAAAACACTATCAAGAATTGCTTTCGGCATGCTGCGTTCTGCGCAGGTGTCGCAGTAACCAGTGAGCAGTGCCAGCAGGATGATGTCATGGAGGAGTTGGAAGCAGCAATGCATCAAGCTGCCAACGTCCTTGGTGTCCCCGAAATAGAAGGTGATGTCGGTGCTTTTGTTTCGGTGGACGACAATGTGTTCACTGAAAAGTTTGCGACCGCTGAAGAGCTCCTACATGGGCATGGAGAGAACCAGTCAGAGTCGGATTGTGAGGAGAGCGATGAGGAGGAGCCCACCACACCTATTCGTCCCAAGCCCGCATGGAGTGAAGCGTCTGTGGCCCTGCAGACATTGGTGGAGTACATCCATTCAGTACCTGACTCCACGCAAGAGACCTTCGCTCACACAGCTGCCCTGAATGAGTTTCTCGTGAAACGCGCTATGATGACGAAACAGAGCTCGATCAAAAGCTTTTTTCCGACAGCCACACCTCGGTCTACAGCGGCTACAAGTAGGCTTGTTGGTGGCAATTCTGACAAGCCTTCATCAAAGCCTCGCAGTCATGTGCAGCTGAGTCTATCTGCCACTCTAAGCAGGGCCCAAATGCATGCAGCCCGCAATGTTGTTAGAGCTGATTTGACAGAAAGTCCTGCAGTTGCTGATGGTGATTCTACAGATTCGTCCTCGGAAAATGATCTCCCCGTAGTTCTTGACTCCATTCGCACTAAGGAAGACCAACATCGTAGTACTGTCATCCACTGCCGCTCATCTTCCAGTGATGATGATGATGATGATGATGATGATGATGATGATGATGATGATGATGATGATGATTTCTGAGCTGCGCTGGTGGAGGTCGGTTGGTGATTCTGGAGCTCTGGAGGTGGCTGGATTTGCTTGCGGACTGGGGAGGCTGGAGAAGCTGGAGAAGAAGCCTTGGATGCGACTGCTACTCTGCTGCTGTTTTCCTGTGTTGTGTTGGATTTTGTTGCTTTTTTCTCCTATTTTCTGTTCACTTTTTGAGTTAGCAGAGTTAGCATCTCGCCATTGTCTTGAACAGTACCCGCCTGATCAATCGCCTGATCAATCTCGCCAGAGCATCGTTCATCAACATCATTGCCACCTACCAGCAGTGGGCCTGCAGGGGCTGCCAGCCTCGCACCTCCAGCCGTTGGAATACTTTATGCCGTGCTGCCAGTGTCAATCAAGTCGAAAGTGTGTGAGATGCAGCTGTGTTCGGCATGGGAGGAAGTGTATTGATTGCTACCCAGGAAGGTCGCTACCTAGCACGTGCAACAATTCGTTATCTGCCTCACAGCCTTCTGGTGCTAGCAATGTCACTCGAACTGTCAACGCGCACCCTGCCAGCCAGCCACTTGCGGTTGGGTTTGCACCTCGCGGGGTTGATTGCGCTGGAGATAGATCGCAAGCTAGCGACAGTGACAGTGATTCACTGCATATAAATTCGACACTTCCGAGGAACTTGGTATGCGCAGACCATGCACGCGCTGGTTCTTCCCCTGCAAGTGATGTAATAACTGATCCATCCTCTCAGATTCAAGGTGATGGCCTTGGCACCTCACGGGCTGGAGCGTCAACATCCAACATTCATCCCAACATTCATCCCACAGGTTCTCAGGTGGAGCTCCTGGCTACCCTAGATGCTTCGGGTCCTGAGTCCTCTGGACAAGCGGCAGACAGCGGTGATGCCGGCACCTCGTCATTACCGGCCGGCGATTTCGGAGGCGCGGTTGGTCGGCCGGCTCATCGCATTGGTGGGCGGAGCGGGGTGGATCCTGCGCCCTCCCTGTTGCCAGGAGCTGCTGCTGTGGGGCAGGGCTCGGCCCAGCCTGCTGCTGCTGCTTCTCCGGCTGCCGCGGTCGCTCGGCAGACTTCTACATC